AAGGTGACCAAAGTACTATATCTGAGCTTGAGCTGCATTATCGATCCTTCCAATGAGCAATCAGGGTTGATTTCCTTTAAGATTGACTGGTTTGACCTCCTAGCAGTCCAGGGGACTCTTAAGAGTCTTCTCCAGCACCACAGTTCAAAGGCATCAATTCTTCGGCGCTCAGCCTTCTTTATGGTCCAGCTCTCACAGCCATATAATGTTCCCAACTTTGCTAGTTCTAAGACGTACAGTATTTGTGCCCTGTTAGGTGATAAATTTAGTTTTGATAGGGAATCTCATGAGCACTTAACTCTCTGACATAACTCTAAAAGTCAGTGGTAAAACTTTTTACTGGAAATAATAGGTGGAAAAGGGTATAATTATAATTGAAGGAGGGGGTGTTGATGCACCCCCTCCTTAAGGACCCGGCTGTTCTGAACAATTTTCATCCAGCTTCCAGGGGACGTGCTGCAGCTTCAGAGGACCCTGGATGAAGCGGATTATCTGGACCCCTTTCAGTCAAGGTTCAGGCCTTGGCATGTGACTGAGACAGCATTAATTGGACTCTTGGATGACCTCTGGCATAAGTGAGATGGGGGTAGTGCATCCATGTTTGCTCTTCTTGACTTCTCAGTGGCTTTCGATACCAATGATCATGATATCCTTGGGGGGGGGGTGGCAAGGTGTTGTGCTGGTTCTCCTCCTCCTTCCAGGGTTAGTTCCAGTTGGTGGTGATGGAGGGGAGAGGTCCAGCCCCTGGCCCTAACGTTGTGGGGTGCTGCAGGGTTCTTTCTCCCCTCCTATTTAACATCTGTATGAAATTGCTGGGTGAGGTGATCTGATGGTTTGGGGTGAGGTATCATCAGCATGCTGATATACGCAGCTTTATACCTCTATCCCGGGCCATCTGAGTGATGCTGGGGAAGTCTTATCTCAATGGCTGGAAGCTGTGGGGGTCTGGATCAGGCACAACAGGCTTCAGCTCAACCCAAGCAAAACCAAGTGGCTTTGAGTTTTTGGATCCCCTGGTTCTGGGGACCTTCCATTTTTGGTTCTGTATGGGATGGCACTGCCTCAGACAGAACTGGTGTGCAATCTGGGAGTCCTCCTGGATGCATGGCTCCTGCTCAAAGAGCAGGTAGCAGCTGTGGCTAGATGGATCTTTACACAAATGCATCGTGTACCAGCTGCACCCTTTCCTAGATCAGAGGGCACTGCTTGTGGTCACTCATGCTCTTGTGATCTCCTGCTTAGACTACTGCAATGCACTCTATGTGGGGCTGCCCTTGAAGAGCATTCGGAAGCTTCAGCTGCTGCAGAATGTGGCTGCGCAGGCAGTTAATGGTGCCAGCTATTTGGTGCATGTGTATGGCAAGCTGCATTGGCTACCATTTTGCTTCTGGGAGCAATTCA